TGGCCAGTGCCCCAAAAGTACCCACACCAACCGCACAGACCCTCACAATGGCCCCTGTCCCAAACCATCTCTGTTCACGGGATGTCTGTGTGGAAACAAGGCAAGGGAAGCGTCTCCTCCTGCAGGAGCTGGGTCTGATACCCAAAGGAAGTAGGATCGCGGGTGTCCTGGAATGGTGGGTTGCGGTGCTTCCCCTCGCTGTCGATGATTCTCCCGGGGTACCATGGCGGTGAGTCTTGGGGAGTCTCGTGTGGCTGTGCGGGTTAGAGAAATGGCGGTCCTGTAGTAGGTCCTGCCCGGGAGTGCAGGGCCCCCTGGCTCGATGCTGTTTCCCATGTGGGGTTGCATGAGTGGAGGCAGGGCAGCGAGGGGGTGGCCCTGTGGTGTGTTTCTGTTGGGGCTTTGGATGGGTTACCTTTGGTCGGTGGTGGATGTGCTTTCGTAGGATCTGCCCTGCTTTCCGGGATGCTGGTGTGGGAGCTGCAGGCTTTTGCATGGGTGTCTGTTTGTCTGTTGGCAGCGGGTGTTTGCCCAGGGTGCTCCCTCGGTCGTAGATCTTAGCCCAGAAGGCGGCGAGTAAGCGGTCCAGCCGCACTGATAGTGGAGCAGATCGGACTCTGGTGCTGGGACCCATGTGGCTTCTGCCATGTTTTTCGTCGATGGTCTGGTAGTGCCGGTTTTCTGAGGTTGGTGCTTCCATGCTTAGTTGTAAGCTTTAGTTGCCGTGATATCCCTCACCGGCAGGGGGGGGGAGGGAGAGGATTGCCCGTGGAGACCTCCAGAATAGGCCCAGGTTGGCTGAGGGATCGGCCACCTCCCCCGCGCCTCCCGGGTAGACCGCCTGTAGGCCTCGAGTCCGCCCACTGGCTGTGGCCGCCCAGTCGGGTCGCTGCTTCGAGTCAGCCTCCCTTCCATAGCACACCCCTCATTCCGGGGCTTAAAAGCGGATGATTTGTTGTTTTGTGGAGGTGATTTTGGCTTAAATTGGGCTGTTTTGCCCGGAGCTCCTCTGTAGTGCAACCCCTCAGCTAGGTTGCCAAGCTCCACCCCCCAAGGCATTGTAAACTTAATAAAACAATTTTATACAAAAGGTTAGATTAACCCCTTAAGTAAGCAAATATGATCATTCAGTTGTAACTTTTTTATTGAACAGGACTCAATGTATCAACTGCCAACATTGTTTCCAACCCACTCAAAGTTATATGTGGAGTTTCACAAAGTTCCATTCTTGGGATCATGATATTCTTCCTGTTTATAAATGACCATCCCAGCTTGCATGACCTAAATCTGAACATGTGTGTCGATGACACCATAATCTACCATATGAAACCAAACGTATCACAACTTGATGCTTAATTTAAAATGGACCTTCAAAAATAGAAGAACACAGGCTTGCGGGCACCAGTTCAATCATGGGATGATGGTTTGATATAAAGTGGTGTTTATTTATTTTTTATTTTTTTAATGATTCTTTTTTTTGTGTAGCAGAAAATACACAAGGTCAATAGAGGACAAAAACATTTAAACACATATATATTATGACATGACCATCTCTTGCTTGACAGAAGTCAAAGAACTTGTGTTTTCTCGGTCTGTGAGATCAATGCTGCTCCCTCAGGGCATGCTTTTTGAAATCTGAAAACAGCAGCCTTCTTTTATACTGTAAGTTTTCATATGCAATGAATTGTCTGATCTTCTCAGTAATGCAAAAATTTTGGTTTTATTACATTCTACAAGGATTTGCACATGTCAATATCCACATAAAATACACATACACTGTATAACTACTGCACCACCTTTTGCTGTAATTTAACATGTAAAGTGCTAAATGAACCTGTTATAGCTCTATATATATATATTAGACTTGGGCACTGACAAAATGTCCGTTGGTTCATTTGTTTTTGGACGAAATTCGCCCATTATTTTTGTTTTGGAATTTTATTCATATTAATGAAATTCCGATCCGTGCAGCAAGGACCAGCTGCATCTTGCATCCGTTTAGTAGATAATAGGGATCGACCGATCATCGGTCTGGTCGATATATAATCGTCCGATATTTTGTATTTTCAGCAATATCGGTATCGGCCAATAAACATATCGATATTGCCAATAATGCCGCCACCAGGATCCTATAGGTCATGCCAGCACACTCTTACTTACCTTCCCAGAAGCTCCCTTCAGCTCCCCTGTCTAACTCTTGAGAGTCCTGCGCCCGTCAGAGTGTTGCCATGGGTTACCATGGCAACGCGCAGCGAGACACACGCAGGCCTGGAGAGTTAGACAGGGGAGCTGCTGGGAAGGGAAGTAAGCGTGTTGCTGGGCCCACCAGGACCACCGCGGGCCCCCCTAGGGAATGCCATATCCCCCCTCCCTGTCCAGGTAAGAAGCAGGGAGGGGGGACTAAAACAAAATGTAAAAAAAAAAAATTAAATTTTTTTTAAAAAAAAGTTACAAAATTAAAAATGCCGCACCCCCCATTTTACACACATTACATACCTACCACTCACTGCACAAACACACACTACACAAACACACTGCATTCACTATACACACACTACACAAACACACACTCTGCATTTACTATACACACACTACACAAACATACTGCATTCACTATACACACACACTACACAAACACAATCTCTGTATTCATTATACACACACTACACAAACACACTGCATTCACTATACACACACTACACAAACACACATTGCATCCACTACACACAAACACACTGCATTCACTATACACACACACTACACAAACACACACTCTGCATTTACTATACACACACTACACAAACATACTGCATTCACTATACACACACACTACACAAACACAATCTCTGTATTCATTATACACACACTACACAAACACACTGCATTCACTATACACACACTACACAAACACACATTGCATCCACTACACACAAACACACTGCATTCACTATACACACACACTACACAAACACACACTCTGCATTCATTGTACACACATTACACAAACACACTGCATTCACTATATACACACTACACACACACACACACTGCATTCACTATACACACACAACACAAACACACACACTGCATCCACTACTCAAACACACACACACACACACACACACACAGAATTCACTAATCAAATACTCTCACTGCATCCACTACACACACATATATTCTTGAAAACATAAAAAATTCTGACTGGCATGTATATTTTGTGCCTTAATAAAAGAAAGATTTACAAATAAATAAATAAATAATAAACATTTTCAGTTAACAGTAGATTTGTGGAGAATTAGTTTATTTTTTCACAATGGTAAATGTACAGGATATCGGTATTGGTAAGTTATCGGATATCTGCCTGAAAGTTCACAGATTATCAGTATCGTCTCTAAAAAAAAATCAATATAGGTCGATCCCTAGTAGATAACCCCCTAAAGTGGTACCTTGTGGGACTGCCATGTTTAAGGGTACCAAATTAGGGACCCGCTTAGTAGATAGCTCCTTGTTGCTATCCTTATGGCAATCCCACTAGCGTAAAGGGAGCTATATACTAAAAAGCTGAAAAACTACATTATGAAAAGTCCTTGTCTTTCTTAATTTTTTCTTTCAGACAACATTACTAATACACGCCATAGTCAGTGGTTGAGGGCCCTAAATAATAATGGTGGAGTAAACCTATTGTTCCCCCCCCAAGTACCATTTTATGGCGGGCAACAATAATAAAATATCGGGTGGACCTGTTGTTCACCTCCACCCCCCACCCAATGGCAATGGGTTGGGGCCCTAAATGATAAAATGGGGGGTGGACCAACTGTTCCCCCCACTCCCACCCATTGGTGGCCGGTGGGGCTAATAAATCAATAATTAATATTTTTTTTTCATTCCTTGGAATTTCTATTCATTCAGTGGTATTTTGGACGAATGGATGAATAGCCGAAATTTGGAGGAAAACGTGTTTGTCTAAAAAAGGAATGCCCAAGTCTAATACCGTGTTTCTCCGAAAATAAGACCGGGTCTTATATTAATTTTAGTCACAAAAAACACACTAGGGCTTATTTTCAGGGTAGGGCTTATTTATTTACGGTACCGGTATGTACATTGAACAACATTAATCCACCCCCTCTAATTAATCCACCCCCCTTTAATTAATCCACCACCCCTTTAATTAATCCACCCCCCTAATTAATCCACCCCCCCTCTAATTAATCCACCCCCTTTAATTAATCCACCCCCTTTAATAAATCCACCCCTCTAATTAATCCACAATTAATCCACCCCCTTTAATTAATCCACCCCTCTTTAATAAATCCAAATTAATCCACCCCCCTCTAATTAATCCCCACCCCCTCTAATTAATCCACCCCCCTCTAATTAATCCAGCCCACCCTTTCATTAATCCAGCCCACCCTTTCATTAATCCAGCCCACCCTTTAATTAATCCACCCCCTTTAATTAATCCACCCCCTCTTTAATAAATCCACCCCCCTTTAATAAATCCACCCCCCTTTAATTAATCCACCCCCCTTTAATTAAAACATGGGGTACATTGACATTATTGCAGGCTTATGCAATATATGATCATACTGAAATTAATCCATATTATTTTGCCTAAATTAGGTGTTTTTGAAAAAAGTAATAAAATCTGTAGGCTTTGAAGTTGCTGATGAGTGGATTTAGTTGGACATTGTGTATTGTATATATATATATATATATATATATATATATACATAAAAACACAATATAAATAAAATATACTTACACTCTATAACTATTGCACTTACTGTACCTCACTTTACTGTAAAGATGAATAACACAGACACTAATACGATCTAGGAGCAATTGTTTAAGCTGAGAAAAAAGGGGGGAAACAAGAGGGGGAAATTTTAAATATCACAATGTATTGGACAGTAGAAGGATAAACAACACTTTATTGATAATACGAAATAAATAAAAAGATCTGCACACTAACATACATATATCTATTATGAATGCAGTATAATAAACACAATCTAATTGTTATGAATCCCGATCTAGCATGGTGTATAAGTATCAAAGACACTGGACACACTAATAACTAAACACTAGTCCACAAATTAACAATGTACCCAAATTCCCACTCAGTGTGCGACAGTGATGGTTCCTTCCCTGATGGGAAGCAGATCCTAATGTAGGCAAGGTGAAATTTCTCAGTCTTCAATTCGTACAAAGTGTGAATCAATGTAGCCAATTCTCCTTGCACAGTGCAAAGTTGCTCGGTGTCAATAGATCAAAAGACAAAGTTGATCCGATACTGTAAGCTCGCAGCTCCCGATGCTGGCGGTTGGGCTTAAGGGACTTATAAGTGGAACGGTCCTGGCATAGGGTCCGTGACAGCCTACCTCCCAGAAGTAAGGCTGCTGCATAAGGAAATCCTCGCCGCTGCCGGTTACAGAGTTCCACCTGGTCTGCTGCGACTTGTTGATCTCATGTGTCTGTTTAGGCGCTCTCCTCGCTGATTTGAATGCTTCAGTGTAGTCCCGCCTTACGCGTTTTGTAGCACTAAGGCCACTTCCTCAGAGGCCCTCTACTGTAAGGTAACCAGTGTAGTGCTAAGTACATCTGTTAGCACTACATAAATAAAATATACATACAATGTAGGACACTCTAAACATCATAACCACTACAGCATATTAACGAGTATTGCAAGGAGATTCTGGGAGCTGTTCCTCAATTTTTTGTTAACTCATTTAGGAGCAGCCTGACAACATTATCTCTCTTGCCGGATCCCTAATGTCAATTCTGTGCACTAATCACGTCGGTTGTCTGTATCCAGTGCACTGCGCACTGGTGACAGACCTTCTAAGCTTCTCCTGTTGCAGTGCAGAGATCATGCCTGCAACGGGATGCTTGATCTCCCTTCCCTCTCCCTGTTCTGAGTTGGTAAATGGTCCAATCAGATACTTCTCTATGAAGCATTTCATTGGACCATGCGAGGGAGGCGTTAACGTCAGACAGGGCATGGGAATGGGCAGCTTTAATAACGATGATTGACAGGGAGCCAAGATAATGGAGCACATTTCCAGAATAAAGGTAAATACCGGTGTAGATTTCTACATTTAAATTTTATTTTTCAGACCTGACAAATGTATATTTATTAAAAATAAAGGGATAAAAAAAGTGCAAAAAAAAAAAAAAAAGAGTGTATACAACATGCATATATAATATAACCAGATATGTGTTTATAAATGATATAATATTGCAGTTGCACGTACAACAGTGTCTTGTCAGGCATTAAAGAGTGGACATGATGTCACACAATGGCATTTGACCCAACACAAACAGGGCAAGATGTTTAAGTTGTTCATCCACTAAAAATAGACGTAAACATGCCTCTCCCTCCCTCTGCCTGCAGTTCTCCATAGTCAGATCACTAGCAGTAACTGGGGGGTGTTAAAGGCTCAGCTCACTTCATGTGAATGTGGATCATGCACTTACTAGGTGACCTATGACCTCTATGTAACCTACAGGGACACATTTTAGCCAGGGACATATGTTTTAACTCAGTAGCTTCCAGGCCAGTGAAGCTTCAGAGCAGAATGTCAGTTGTGTCGCTCTGCTGGATACATTGTGTTTTATAAAAAGATGATAGTCAGAAATTCCCACAAAGATTGAATACAGTATTGCGTGTTATTTCAGAAGTGTTATGGAATAAAAAGTAGTTTGCAATTTTCGCAGTTTAACTATTTAGGTCAAAAATGTTAACCTCATCAGCCAGTTAGCCATTTAGTGAATAATGAGAAGCCACTGACTGGAGTATCTCCCAGCAGTCTGTGCCCGGGGAAAAGGGGTGGCTTTAAAAGGCTGCAGAAATCAGATCTGCAGCTTTAGCAAGCTGTTTTTAAATATACCCAAATGGAAAAAAAATGCAGAAAGTAACAATAACAACAACAACAAAACAAACCTCCCATTGGAGGGTTCCCTTAATATTTTTTAAAAGCAGAATGGTCACAGAAAGTAGCAATCTCCTATTCCCTCAAAATAGTAATCAGCATTAAAGCATTTATTGGGATGCACAGTGCAGTGAAGGTGGAAAAAAATAAATAAATCGGGGGGTTGCTTGGACACGGGAGTGAATGGCCGCATGAGAGCCGAGCTCCGCTCGAGACAGGCCTAAATAGCAAGAATCCCGGCAGTTTTACATGGCGACCAAAAGATCGAAGGCACAAACAGGCAGCACTCCCTGCTCCACCCTTACCTCCTCCAAGACTTCCCTGAGGAGATTCTTCACAGAAAAACAAGAGGCAGACATGCGGTCCAAGATGGCCGGGGCTGGGAAATCTCCCGCGAGCAGCGCGCCAGCCAGCCCTGCTCCCTTGGACAGCTCCACAGAAGGTGCAGATATTAAAACCATCCTAACTCAGCTACCCTCCAAACTGGACCTCGAGGCAATGTTCTCCAAAACGGAAAGGAGCTTTGGCGCCAAGCTACAATCTCACCATGAGGAGGTAAGCCACATTGGCAATAGGGTGCAAACACTAGAAGAGGAGGGGGAGACAACAGCCCTACAAATGCATGACATACAAACTCTCCAACAAACCCAAAACGAGGCCCTAATATTCCTACAGAGGAAAATAGAGGACCTAGACAATAGGGGAAGGCGCAACAATCTCAGAATTAGAGGCATTCCTGATGACCCCTGAAGGAACAAGTGAAAATATCCCACAAACCCTCACAAATCTCTTTAATCAGCTGCTGGGCAGGCCGCTAGATACACCCATCAAGTTTGACCGCGCTCACAGAGCGATCAGGCCGAGAGCGCTAACTAATGAGAAACCAAGGGACATTATCTGCAGGCTCCATCATTTCCCCCTAAAAGAGACAATCCTGCAAAAGGCCAAGCAAATTAGAGACATTACATTTGTCGACTGTAAAGTGCAGATATTTCAGGACCTGGCGCAATCCACACTTATCGCGCGAAGAGCAATGCGCCCGATCACGAAGGTGCTCTCAGACTGCAACATACGATTCCGCTGGGCATACCCTTTCGCTTTAGTGGTGAACCGCCAAGGGAAGACACACTCAATCTCTACACCAGCAGACGTCTCGACATTTCAACAAGCCTTAGGCATACCCACAGACACGGTGGAAGACTGGACTGGTCTCTACATGGAACAAGACAAGCAACTACCCCAAAGGACCAAATGGCAACACACCCCCAAAAAGTGAAGGAGACGAACCCCCTCGGGAAATTAACTGCCCTCAACACCAAATGTCCCTGCTGCAAAACTGACCTAAAAGACTCAATATATGCTTTTAATCTGCTAAACATACCTGAGTCACAGAGGCGTTTGCCATATATATCGCCTATTTAATGCCATGTCTATATCTACATATCTCTATATATTTACTGTTTAATGTTTAACCTACTGCCATAGTTCCACGTGGCCAGGGCCCAGACAAATAGAGGGCATCTGGAACCCCGGACACGCTGGGACTGGGATTCGATCCATAGTTGAATTCCATTATCAGTTATAAGTTATGTTAGAATATGCTAATGTTAGAATGCTAAATATTTACGTATTATGTATAAAACATATGCAGAAGGCCTAGTGTCTCGACGGGTCTAGACCACACAACCCCCCAAGAGGTGCCACAAAGAGCACGCATGATCCACATGATCCACAGTGGGCTTGACACCATCTGGTTACAGCATGCACACCGCATGAACACTGTTTATAATTTTCCTGGTTTACGTTTTTCCCCCCAAATCCTCCCCCCCATTGGGTATAGGTACGCACCATATCATTTAAGTCCGAGATGCCCCTACCTCTGGCCATTTTATGATGGATAATCTTAAACTCATGTCCCTGAACGTACAGGGACTTAACACACCCGAAAAACGCACAGTACTAGCGCATGAATTGGACAGACAGCAGGTGGATATAGTATTCCTCCAGGAAACACATTTTAGAGGGTATCAGACTCCCATATTGAGAACTAAATCGATGGGGCAATCATACTTTAGCAATTATCATGGAGGCAAATCTAGAGGGGTCGCTATCCTGTTATCGTCCAGAAGAGCATTCATACTCCAAGACAGTAAACTAGACCCACAGGGAAGGTACATATTCCTCAAAGGCAAACTTAACAACACACTCATTACCCTAGTAAACGTTTATGCACCCAACAAAAGGCAAGTCCCATTCATCAAATCATGCCTCAGAAAACTAGAGAATTTTGCAGAGGGTATGGTAGTGATGGGGGTCGAGTGGAACATAGTCTTAGATCACTCAATAGACAGTTCAGCGACAGGCAGAGACACGCAAGCACACCAGCGTCTACTATTTCAAAGAGCCCTACATGCCAATCAACTAGTAGACTGCTGGAGGATTGCCCACCCCCAGGAAAGGGATTACACATACTTCTCCCAGGTAGCACATAGTTACTCTAGACTGGATATGTTCTTGATAGGACATAGACACTTGCACACACTAGTTCACTCATCCATTGGACCGATCACATGGTCGAACCATGCCCCAATATTACTTACGCTGTCCCTTGAAGAGAAGAGTGCCATTAGCAACACATGGCGCTTAAATTAATTACTACTGGATGACCCCAGGGTAATGGAGAATTTGAATAGTGCTCTACCCAGGTACTTTTTAGAAAATATAGATAAAGGCACAGCAGAATCCTGGGTATGGGAAGCACACAAAGGCATAACCTGAGGGATCCTGATTAAATGGGGAGCACGTATCAAAAAGGAAAGAGCGTAACAAAATCTATCTCTCACTGAAGCTATATCCACAGCAGAGTCTAACCACAAATCTAACCCTACACCAGAAGCATACAAAACATTAACAGCACTCCGAATAGAACTGTGAAACCTCCTTATCGTGAAAGCACATAGGGCAGCCCAGCTGACTAGGGGGACATATTACGCTCACGGCAATAAAAGTGGGAAATATCTGGCCAGAGCTCTAAAGGACAAACACCAAAAGGCATGCATCTCTCACATTATGACAAAGGGTGGAACACACCAAGACACGACAGAGGACATAGCCAAAACCTTCCAAAACTATTACAGTGACCTCTATAACCTGGGACACCCAGAGAGCACCCAACATAACATTGCAGCATACATTTCAGCCCACACCCACAAGACATTAGACCCACAACAAACCGCACACTTAGAATCACCTATCCAGCCTGAGGAACTCCAAGTGGCAATAACAACTCTCCCCAAAGGCAAAAGCCCAGGTCCAGATGGACTTACGGTCAGATACTATCAGGCCTTCCAACACGTATTAGCTCCAAGATCCCTAGAAGTCCTAAATGTCCTATTACTCAATGATGTTCTCCCACCACCCATGCTGAAGGCCTCGATCACTGTTCTCCCAAAACCGGGTAAAGATCCAAGCTTATATAGTAGCTACAGGCCAATATCCTTAACAGGGCCGTCTTTAACGCGGGACAAACGGGGCAGCTGCCCCGGGCCCAGTTTCTCTTGGGGGGCCCGAGGCACCTGCCCCGTGGGCCCCGCTGCCCTCATCAATTATTTTTTTTCCCCCGTCCCACCGGGTGGCCCATGCACTTAGGGCAGTGGCGTACATATCAGGGTCACGGCTGCGACCCTGGTATGCACCCACAGGGCCAGCGTCTTCCCCTGGGGGGCCCTGTGGGCCCTCGTGCACCGCACTGATACCGGAGCCGGAAGATGACGTCATCTTCCGGCGCCGGCACCCCTACGCGGCGCGCGAGGGAGCTGAAGAGGAAGCAGTGAGTGCTCCCTCGCGCGCCCGCCTTCCTGCCCGACCGGCCACCTGCCCGCCGGGGTCAGCAGCACCACTGGACCCCAGGGAATCCCCCCAGCACTCCAAAAGGTAAGGAGGCTGGGGGGATTACATTTAAAAAGAAAAATGTGTGTTTGTGTGTTAGTGTATGTGTGTTTGTGTGTTAGTGTGTGTTAGTGTATGTGTGTTAGTGTGTGTTTGTGTGTTAGTGTGTGTTAGTGTATGTGTGTTAGTGTGTGTGTTTGT